GGGGGGGGGGGAGGGCTGTTGAACTCCGTTTTAGATGCTCTCTACACTTTCAGCTACGACATTAGAATTGCGATGAATGAAATTTGGCATTTTTTGCGTTTTTTTTTCCTTCGTTCTTTAAACTTGGTCGGAACAATTTGCTCAGCCCGGTAAAGCCATCAGCGATGTTTTAGCACAGAGAGCTAGCACTAAAAATTCCAAGAATTTAAGCTCACATAAATTTTTTTCCGAAAAAAAAAAACATTCGAGAAACCACTAATTGTTACAAGAAATTAAGCGAATTTGGCACTTATCTGGGTATCTAAATTGGGTATCTAAATTGGCACTTCCTGCTTATCTGGATATCTAAATTGGCATTTCCTGCTTTCCCACAGCTGTCAATATTCCACTCTGTTCCTCTCATCAGTGGGCCTATAGTGCCAAACAAACTTTCATAGTTTGCATCTTAAAAAATTTCCAAAACACATTAAAGTGAATCCGTGTCAACCCATCCCATGACCTCATGGTAAGCTGATGAGCGTTCCTCCCCTTTCGCCCCCGTGCCCCGCCTTTCCTTTTCTCGCCCTGCTTCCTTTCCCTTGTTATTCCGTCTTCGATCACTCGCAGCGATAGCGACCACCTTCGTAGCTGTTTGGGCGGGAAAAATTTGGCGTGGAACTTGTGCTACACTTCGTGATCTTCAGTATTCCCCGAAATTCGCGCCCCTTTTTCCCAGTCAAGTCCAGAAGTTGACCTTTGATCTCTTGTTGCGATTGGGCATTTTGAGGGAGTGAGGTGGTTTTTGATCTCTTTTCCTACAGAGTCTCGCAACCCTTAGTTGGATATTGTTTTTCTAAGTTCGCGTGGTTTTGCTTGTATTTGATTTGAGATTGGAAGCTTAGTACTGCGTTGTGACAGCGTGTTACGGCCTTTTTACCTCAGATTTTGAGGACTGATCTTTGATCCTTAAAATTTTTGTTATCTGAACACCAGGCGATATAGTACTACTGGTCGAAGAAACTACAAAAGTTGCCGGCTTC